AACTGGATGAGCTTGATTGGTGTAAAGTGGCTTACATGGCATGCTTTTACAAGTTGTCAGTAAAGTGGCGATTAGCTGGAGCTTCCGTTACTCATGATTTTATTTTATTTTTATTTTTTTCACCCTTTTTGGTTTGTTGAAAAGTTCGGTTCCAATTTCTAGGCTTAAATTGTAGAAACTCTAGAATTTTATCCCTCTAACTTAACAGGTACAAAATAATATACATGTCTTGATTTGGAAGTATATAAACATGAATACGTACGAATATACATTGCAGTGAATAACGGTGTTAATAATTATGATAACAAACTACCATGTGGCATTCATTACTTTATTTTTCAAGTGCATCAAATTTATTGTGGAAGCGAATGTCAAAAATTGTTTTCATGGTTTGCGAGATGATTTTAATTGCACTGGCTTTCCGCCCTTGAGAAATGAAGCAAATGTTTGTGTTGTTCTGCTTTGCTGAAATCTCAACTCAATTGACCACATCATTGATCAATATGCAACTTATAAAGATTACTGAACTTTTGGTGTTGAATAGACATTCAATATAATGACTTTGGGAAGTATTTATGTTTTTTCTAGAATAGAAATTTTAAAAATTTATGGCTGTTTACAGGCATTTCAAAGGAATAATGCTTAATACAATCTTCTCAAGTCAGAAACCAAATTATAGCTTAAGTGAAATTTTTTTTGCAAGTATACTATGAAACTTGTATTTTTAATAGGAATACCACAATCCTCTACACTTGCTGCTATTGTATCATACACATAAACCTCACACAAGTTACTATGTCTTTATTAAGAACTGTAATTTGTACAATGCATATTTACTCTATCCAAAAACATTTTGAATCTTTTTTTCTTTTTCTTCTTTTAAAACATACTTAACTACTATTATGATTGAAATGGGTGTTTTCACTTTGGAAGAACATGAGAAGCTTTGAACCAAAGAGAAAATTAAAAGAAAATAACATGTCTTTTATTGTAGCAATCCAAGGTTGAACTCACCTATTCAAGCATCTGTCAACATAAATAAATAAAATAATGTAATAAACAGAGATCCTGCATTGTCCAATTTCACTTGCATGTACTAAAAACTTAGACCCACAGAAACTATAGTGTCACAATGAAGACTTCAATGTCAGCAGTCCTGTCCAATAAAAATTAATGTAAAAATGAAACAACTAAAAATCACATAATAAAACAAAAAAAACAAATTGAGGTGAGCTTCAAATTCTATTTCATCACGGTAGAACACAGATGGACAATGAACTTTCACTGTCCATCCACCAAGAGAGATCTAATGGAACTGCATCAGGCCCACGAATAGAGATAGAATTGCCACATGAAAAACCCCACGTTTGGGAGGAGAGGTCCATTCCGTAATGGAATCTGTCACCTTCACCCAACCCCTTTCCCTCTAGAGGCCATTGTCTTGTGTGCATGTATGTTCCTGGGGCCCAGTCCCCTTCTGAAGGAAAGAATGGCAAAGACTGCTGCCACATCAGAAGGGGTTGTAATTAGTCACTACCCCAAACACTAGCCATAAATTGATAACAGATTCTGAGTAGAATCCATCCTCTTCCTAAATGGAGCTTCATGTTGATGGCAGTGATGATGGCATCCCCTGGCCCAATTCTATTGTTGACCTCGTCCTTAGTGCATTGGTTTAGGGTTTTCCTCTAATCAAGCCCTACAATTGGTCCCACAGCCTCTCTACTCTTGCAACTTTGTGGCTGCCAGAAAATGAAGTACCCCCTGGAAATAACAACAACAACAACAACAACATAAATATTAATAAATAACTTTTTCCATTGTTTTCACAAGTTGATTATCCATGTTATGTTTGTTTTGTTTGTTTATCTATTTGATTGAGGAAGGGATGATAATTTTGTTACTTCTATCTTTTGGGTTATAGAAGTAGTAGCACTACTACTACTAGTGCATCCCATGGGTGAGGACACTTGCAGAAATTGTAAGGAGCTTTAAACTAAATGATTGGCAGCAAGAGAGGATGAATAAGAAAAGGTCCATAGAGTTGTACTCTTGCATACAAACCAAATGACAATTTGAACGCATGTCATCAAATCTATGTTTATGACACAACACACACATTTCATTTAAAGTTAAGTCTGGGTAAAGCTGGGACAGTTCACACAGGTAGCATTCCTTATCCATGTATGTATATATATTATTCCAAAGAAACTGTAGCCAAGCATTGGCCACACCCCTAATAGCTCTCATTCTACTTTGATTTTATTATTACTGTTGGGTTGCTCTCACATAGCAACTCTTATGTTTTTAGTGCAGATATGAGATCTAAAAGGAGTAGCCACTTGGATTATAATCCTCCACTCTCTAATCATCCTTTTGCAGTGTTCATGTTTGGAAGAGGACAGGCTTTGTTTGGTAAATGGACAATAGCTCAGGCTGTGTTTCAAAAATAGGGGTGGGAATGCCTATTGTTTTTCATTCCTTGACCTAAATTAGGAGTGGAAGATTTCATTATGTGGGTTCATTGAATAGCTGCCATATGATTTAAAGACGAAAAATAACTAACTCTTTTATTGTCCAACTTTTGTGTTGGTTGCATGTATGTATATATATATATATATATATATATCTGAAAATAAAAGAGAGTTTTGCATGGATGGGAGAATGTTTTGTGGTCCAAGGAGAAAGGATCTCTATGAACTTTGACAATGGTGGTGCGTGGTTGGCTCACAATAAGATCAAGCTTCCAGATTTCTTGACATTTTTAGAATACGAAAATATTCCATTTTGACATTGTGGGTGAAAAGGTTGGAATAGTTTGAACTAAAAATAGGAGGTTGTGCACATGCTTCTCTTTTTCTTTTCTTTTTTGGATTTGAGTACCATATTTTCAATGTGAAAGAAAAAGAAATAAGTACAAATGTTTATCAAAATTCATAAGCCAAAGTGTGATTTATGAATTTGGACATGGTCTTCTAATACACCCTCTTTGTTTTTTCTTTTACAATGACAAAGTTGTGGTTATGCAAATTTTGTGAAAATGAAAGAAAACATTGTTTTCAACCTGGAAGGCTGTTTAGTGTGTTGGAATGTACAGATATATAAATGAATACATAGATAGGTATACTTGTATAGTTATTTGTTTGATAAGATCACAAGTTGTAATCATTGGTGAAAATAAAATACTGTGGGGAAGGTTTTATGTGTGCAATAATGAAACAACCAAATACACTAACTTGTAATATACATAATCCATACAATTCAATTACTTTGTTCTGTAAGAAAAAAGATAGAAAAAGAAAAGAAGAAGACACTTACAACACAGGTGGCAACAACTGCTATTTTGTGCACAACCATTAATGTTTCACCAATTGTTTATATAATAGATCACGCAGACAAACTCACCGCTTGGTTCATGCACTTCAATATTGGGGGTAAACATGTCACAACCACAATGACAATAAACCAGTTAAGGAGCATGATTTAATCTTAACTGTTATTATTACACTAAAAAAGAGCATTAAAAATTGAAAAAAGTAATCCAAAAAAGAATACAAGTTACAACTTAAAAACTCAGCATTGTGTTGTGACATCTATAAGTTAGACAGTGATTAAGTTATTGTCCCAAAACTGGCAGTGCTGCAAAGCAATCCAAGCACCCACACAACCTTTGTGGATTTGCAAAATAGGCCTGCCTGAAGGCACTAACAATACTTGACTAAACTGCAAAACAGCAGCTGTCATTGTGAGTGACAAAAATGATGAATCCCACAGCATCGTCGACAAGTTCAGTGCCGCAAATTTATTTATTCTCAAGAACTTTCAAGTGAAGAAAGAAAGAAGGATATAAGGAGGAATTCATCATGGCAATCATTTCTTCAAATCTATCAATCCCGCAGCCCTCTCTATTGTCATTCATGATGAGAAAGCCAGCCCTTCTTCTGCTTGAAGGTGAGAGAATCCTAGCAACACTCAATCACCCCATGTAGCTAGCTCTGCTCCCATCAATCACACACAAATGGATGGGACCTCAAGTGCAGCCAAAATGGCACTGGATTTACTCTACAGAAGATGAAAAATATTCATAAATAAGTTCATAGATACAGATCTGCGCATTGGACCCCTCTTGGAAAGGGGGATCTCGGTAGTGAAACTAGGCCAGGTCTTCTATCGTCATTTTGTTTTTTTTTTTTGACTGGTTATCTCTCAATCTCTCACTGCTTTTCAAAACAGCTACTGAACAAATGCAGGATGGGTTTTGTAACTTTTACTACTCTCTACTACTATGACTACCCAGAACCTTGACCTAGACAAGTACCCAGTAGTAGTATATTCTTATGGGTGCCTTTAGAGGACCAGTGGTGATGAGTGTGTTTGTGCAAGCAATGCAAACAGGCATCAACTTCGAAGCACACAACACTCGTTGAAGTGAAAGAGACAAGCATACAAAATCTCCCCCCCTCCAGGCCTTTTTTTTCTCCCATTTTTTGACAAGAGAAAACAACCAATTGGGGGCTGTATGATCATCCCACTGGAGGAGTAGTGCAAGTCTAGAGCCTAGTAACACCCTAAAAACGGTTGAGAACTAAAGACACAGATGTGCAGATAGAACCCCTTTTTTCTTCTCTTCTTCTTTTTCCGCTTCTTCTGAAGGAATGTATATGAATCCCTTTTACTTGAAGGGCAACCAAAGAAGTATAAAGCCAGCCAGAGATTATTAACTGAAACAGACTGCGATCAACCCCCTGAATGCAGGAGCAGCGACTATAGCCGAGGCAAGAGAGCACAGTGGGTAAGTAAATTCAATTCATAACTACCGCTTCATGGAGACAAGGCCACATCAATGCTTCGGCAGAGTTGGGAAGTGAAGAAGCAGGCGATGAATGAAACAATAACGACGAATGAATAGCGTCCGACGCAGCCCGACGCGAAGTGCCGCTGGGTGTGTAGTCACGGTGAGGCCAGGCAGAGCCCGCAGCAGCGACGCGCTCAGCGCAGGCTCGTCTCTCGTGGTGGTGGTGGATCTGGAACTTGCGTCGTCGCCTGGCATGGCTGGCCGGCCCCCACTGATTGCTTAAGCTGCATCTCGCTTCTCTCCGCCCCCCCTCTCCCGCAGATTCCTCGCTGCTTTGTTTCTCATGTGATGCAGCAGCTCATTACCTATCCTGCCTCACGAGACACACTGACTTCACAAGACCCCACAGAGAGAGAGATAGATCCAAAGAGAGCCGGTTTGACAGCGCTGGTGGCCCAACTGCTGTTACAAGCTCTCGTGTACGGTTCATGCTTGTGGGGGTGAAGTGTTGGGGGATGAGTCGACTTTAGCTGTGGTTGCAGAGGTGATTTCATGGTGGAGAAATAGAGTTTGGAAGAAGCGGTTGTTGTGCGGTAGGAGGGAGTGGTTTTGACGGGGAGGAAAGAGGTCCAGATCTTGAGGGGTAACGTTCTGGGGTGTGGTAGATGTGGTGTGGTGCACGGGACGAGGTTGCCAGACTTGGGGGCTGATGCCACGAGTGTCGTAGGGGAGAGCGCACATGACTGGGTTCCATTGATCCGAGTGGATGCGTTTCGATTGTGCTTTTGGGGAGTTTGTTTACGGGGCTGAATTTTGACAAGGTTGTGAGGAGAGGCGAACGTCGGTTCGTCAAGGAGCTTCCAATTGTATCAGTTGCCTCGTTTAGTCGCATCTATGTGGGTTGTAGTGGCGGAGTATGGTTGTGGTTCTGTTCTTCGGAGGTTTCCTAGGGTGCTGGAGAGGTGAGGTCGTTTGTAGATCAGTGGTTTTTTTGTGAAGAGTTCTTCCTGGTTCTGTCGCTTGCTAATTCTGTCGTTTAGCTCCCTGAGAGTTTTCATTATGAAAGAATGAAGGCACTCCGACCCTGCTTAGCGTTTTCTTGAGCTAGCGACTTTCAATTCGGGGCTCTTTGGCATATTGAGAAGTCAATGAAAGACCATTGTCACCCTCTCTTCTGGGACACTCAATCAATGCATATGGTCCTGCTGGAATTGTAGATTCTCTGACCAAGAATTTGCGTCTGTTCTTTCGGTAGGAGTTCAGCTGGAATTGGGGATACTGGGGGATCTCGCAGTGCTACCTTTCTCGCAGTTCAAAACAGTGTGCTCACTCTCTCTGAGAGGTCTATCGCGAAGTCTGGCGGTGCAGGAAGTGAGGTACAGCTCTGGGCAATCACCTGTCTTCGAGTCTCTGGTGCGGGATGAGTGCAGAGTTCAGTGACGACCATATCCTCTCCGAAAGCAAGTCACTTCCATGGGCTTTGTGAAGAAGTTTTGAACTCCACCTCTGCATTGGTCTCTTCGCGTGTCATCATCACCATATACTGTTCAAAGTCTTTGAGTCCATATTGACCACAGAAGTACCTTCTCTTCTTCATGAATCAGTTCGAGGCTGCCAATTGATTACCCAAGTTTCAAAGCTGCGACGTGGCCCGCTTTTCGTTAGACCTACTTCGTCTGCTTTGAGTGCAGACTCTTAGGGGTGGAGGTAGCTACTGTTTTCGCACACAGAACTGTGAAGCCCCAGGTAGGGCAAGTCACAAGAGTTGTTTGCGAAAGAGCCACTTCAGAAGTCCTATATTCCAGCTTGAGTAAAATCTACGTCACGACGGTTGTGAAGCTCAGAGCTTAACTCTTTCATGGTACTCTTTTCACAACTTCAGGCTTTTCTCCTACGAACATTGCTCCACTAGATTCCTTTTTTGCTCATTCGGTGCCCGTACTAAGGCACTCTTACCTATCCCGCAACCTCCTCAGGGTTTGCGTTGTCGTCTTTCATGAAGTGGATCATGCGTCGTGGTACTGTATAGAAGCTCCAGTTTCCGGATTCCTGGGATTTACCATGTTCTTAGGGTGGCCTTCAAAGGCCGTGGCCATGGTTATCAGTATGGAAGGCGTAGCAATTTTTTTACCGCGACATTGACAATTGGAAGAAAGAAGACAAGCTACAAATATGGACAATGGCGTACCAAGTCTTGTTGCTACAGTGAGTCCTCTACCAAAACCGAGTCTCGGTATGATTACACTGTTGAACCTGCACACACCACGTGGGTTGGAGTAAGTATATTGAACTTGGATTCGTTAATGGCAATGAACAGGCTATAGAGCGGTAAAGTGTGTAGATCTCCTCAAACTACGGCAAGTGATGAAGTTTATTTACTTTTAGGATCAGTGATTTTAACCTCCAGCGCTAGAGTCCTAATTTATCAGTAGAAGTGGCTTAGAAGTTTGAGTTTACTTCATTTGAACTTCTGCTATTGACCCGAGGTATATATTGTCGTGCAATGCTTAGCTTTTCCTTTTTTCCTTTGCACGCGATGGAGGAGTTGAACGGTTTCTCAGCATCCAATTGCAGTGCTCGTTGATCATACGAACTTACTAATGTGCTTTTAGCGATCCACCCGTTTGGGTTCTTCACAGTGGTTCAGCGAGTACGTATGTTTTCAGTTCCATGTGAGAATTACGCTTCTAGCTGATCATGTGTCTGTAATCTAATAGGGGAAAAGAAGGAGAGAGGGATTTCCCATCGATGAGGATGTGAAGGGTGTGAAGTCGTCTCGACAAGTGTATGGGTTGCAGAATGCTGTCGATGACAGCAATGAAGGCTTTCAGAATAATGTCCACTTTTCAGGACTTTCTGTAAAGAATTTGATGCGGATGCAGCAGCAACAACAGCAGTTGACGAGTGATGCTGCTGCCATGGCACCTGTAGTAACGCATTTAAACATGCAACAAAGGGTTGAAGCGGCGGCAGCACTACAGGTAATGCCCCTACCATACAAAAATCCGTTATAGATTACATACATATCATGAGAAACTTCATTGAGTTCAAGCCTCTTTGGGTGCGACTGCCGCACGATCCGATCTGAGTAAAAGTTCTAACAGGATCTGCGAGGCAACATCACCTTCCAACAACCTCAGTTGCAACAGCCCATGAAGTATGGTGTTCAGCAGCAGCAACAGCCACTTCCTCAAATGCAGCAGCAGGTTATGAAGCTCGACACCAGCTCACTCGGAGATCCTAATTGCCAACCGCCTCAATCGCCCCTACCTGTTCCGCCACCACCGTACATAAGAACTCCCCCGCTTCATTCCGAAGCTGATGTACACAATGGCTCCCCTACATCCTCTTCTTCCGGACCTTATCCTAACTTGCCGAACATGAGTGGCCCTCCGCGCACCTCCCAGCAATGTAATGCACCGATTCAGCTACCAGAGCTTGAAAGTGACAGCTCTTATTCCAGTTTGATGCACCCATCGCAAAGTAATATTTTGCCTCATTCTAAAGCTAAGAATGTCCAAAATGGGCTTTTACAAACACAGCAGTCCCTCCAGTCATCTCCGAGCGGAATGTCCGCTCAACAGCTTAGAGGCCACTCTCCACAGAGTAGGATGGCACAACAAGCTGATCGATCGAGTACCATGCATCCGACAGGCCACGGCTTGGAGGGTGAAATGCCGCGACAGCCAGCTGATCTAGCGGTCCTTAATCCAGGCCTTCAAGCGCCTGGAAGCCTCGATGTGTCCACCAGTAACCAAGGTAGTTTGCAAAATGGGAACCTGCATAATCAAAATGGCCATGGATCCCCTGGTCTTCCTCAGAACGGGATGCTGAATAGTGTAGCCTTTCATCATGGCGGCCGTTCATTACCGGCATGTGGGCTTCAGAATGGAACCCGAAATGGAAACATCCAACAGCCAGGCGGGCAGGTGTTTTCGTCACGAGGGGACCCTGCTCGTGCAGGGGCTACTATCCTGCATCAAAAGGGTGGGCTTTCCATGCCAAGCAGTGCGCATCTTCAACAAGGTGTTCAATCCGTTCAGAATGCGATGTCAAATGTGGGTCACAATGGGATGATGCATCAACAAGGTGGTCTAAGAATGCAGGATGGTATTGTTATTCCAGCTGGACACATGTCCAGTGTGGGTCCTCAAAAGCGTGGCCATAGCGGCGCTATTATCCATCAACCAGTGCAGGGTTTTTCCAGCAGCATGCAGCAGCAGCAACAGACGGGATTTCCTCCTCTGCTCCGTGACATGCAGGTCAGTTTTCTTATCGAGCTATATTTGGGTAATTAATTCGTTGTGAATGGTGCCACGTGGTGGATCATGTTGAAGATGTAAAATAGCCCAATCCCTTGTTGAACACTGCTTGGCTTTGTGTTTTTTACAATGTATAAATCAGTGCAATAAAATTGGATTTCTGTGGTCTCAGGTTATGCAGCAAGTTCCAAATAGTTGGTATCCATCTATTCGGGACACAACCACTATTTCTGAGACTCAGCCTAGCGTTAGCACATCTCGATTGCAGCACAGTAAGGTGGAACCAGTGGCATACTCTGTGAATAGTCCCATGTACTCCTGTGTCACCGAACTCGGGAGTCAAAGGGGAATATCTACAGCCATGTCCCAAATCAATCAAGTTCAAAATGGCTACAGAGATGTACTGCCGGACCAAGATCTGAGGCAGCAAGTGTGTGGTTCCTCCTCAAATATGATGGGCAAAGTCCTTCCTGTGCAAACTGATCCTCAGGGGCGGAAATTCTTGCAAGGAAATAATTTTTCTGCAACGTCGAGCTCAGGTGGTGATATGAGTTCAAATTCTACAATGATAAATGGAGCTTTTGATGATCCTACACTTCTGCAAAGAGCTTTTACAGGACCACAACCTAAGATTACACGGAGCTACATCAAGGTACTTTTTCTGAGAGTTTGGAGTTTCACTCTGGGGCGTACTTTGTAATCGTGTAGATATTCTGTCTATCATGGTGTAGCACTGAGCCATGTGGGAGTGACATTTTCAGGTTTACAAGCTGGGCTCAATTACAAGAGCGGTTGACGTCAATCGCTTCAAAGACTACACGGAGTTGAGGTGCGAGTTGGCTCGCATGTTCAATCTGGATGGCCAGCTGGATCCCAAGGTTGGTTGGCAGTTAGTCTTCACTGACAATGAAGATGATCTTCTTCTTGTTGGAGACGACCCCTGGGAGTGAGTGCACTCACCCTATTTTTGATGTGGCCATGGTCTCTCTCCCGTCATTTCGTTGTGGATCGATGGTTTTGGAAATGTGCCGCGACTTCATAGTTTGACCATCCTTTGTGGCATGATTTTATAGGGAATTTGTCCGAAATGTTAGGGGCATCCGCATATTGACTCCTGCTGAAGTTTACTACTATACAAACGAGGACAAGTGCACTGCTGCTGCATACAACCCTGCTGGAGGCAGTGCTCCGAAACCAATGTAGACAGCCTAGTTACCTGTAGATAGACTATGTATTTCTACTCAACATCCATCAGATGGTTTGCCCGTGTGCGTGTTACAAACCGATAGATATTACTGAGCTCGTCTTTCCTCAGAGTAAAGAGGTGATTTGTCGATTCAGCAGCATCCACTTCGCTTGAACATTCCAGCCTTCAAGATTCAACTGCTCATAGTTGAAGTTGGGTAAAGACTCTGGGGTAGTCTAATCTCGGCGGGGAGCTATGATTCACTGTATAGACTGATGGATATGGAGCAAATCAGGGGTTTTCTTCGAAGAGGGCATCTGAAGTAGTTTTGTTACTCCCAATTGTGGAATGACGATTTTGTAATGTTGAGGGGGACGTGTAAAGCCTCCAAGACCGAAAAACCGCATTGTAGCAACAACTTAGTCTGAATGGGGAGGTATGTGTTCACATGGATTCCATTTCATAAATTTCTTTCCTCGGCCGGCATTTTTTCATCAATTAGGTCCCTCGGTTGATGCAGAGTTGATGTAGGGAGCAGCTTTTCTCATGTGCCTTAACAAAGGCTTGTAATTCTTAACATTTTATCATACAAATCAAAAGGAGTTATCCAATTTGGCAGGTCACCACCTCAGTTCCTATTGGATATGTGGGATTTGAAATATCTGACCTCTGCGTCTTGCATCCCAATTTAGCTTCTAGGAAACTTGGGCTCCACCAAGTTCAGCACTTGTCTTTCTAACTGTTTTCTTTTATAATTTTCTTTTGTACTCAGCCATGTGCGGGTTGAATTTCTTCTAGACCAGACAAATTGTACAAATGTATAATGGTGCATGTGGATTGTTGAGATCATTAAATGTAGCCTATAATATTTACTGTAGACTATAGTAATTATTGTAGCTACAGTATTTAGAGTCTAGTGGAGAAGTACTGTTCATCCTCTTATCTTCTCTCTTCTTGTGTACTAGACACAACCAGATCAATAGATTTTTGTGTGTGTGAAGCTCTCTCTCCTTAGAAACCCTTGTGTGTGTATGACTTACTACTACTTGTGTGTGTGTATGACTTACTATTACTCTTGTGTCTTTCTAAACATTTTCAACAGGTTATCAGCAGGATTCTCTTCTACACACTATCACAATTTTTTTTGCTCTAGTCTTTGACTCTTCAAACCTGTTGCTACCCTTGCTTAGTGTCTGGGTCATGATCTTGTTCTTCTTGGTTGCACCTCACACATTAGCTGCTTGCTTTGAGCACTTGTTCCACTCTTTGCCTTGCTTGCTCTGAATACTTGATCCAGCCCAACTCCACCCTCTGCTTGCTCCCTGCTCCGCCCCGAACAGACGTCGAACTGCCGCCGAACTGCGCCCCGAACAGACGCCGAACAGACGCCGAACTACCGCCGAACTACCGCCGAACAGACGCCGAATCCGCCGCTGCCACCCTGTCGCCGCTGACGCTGCCGCCCGCCGCCGCTGCCCGCCGCTGCCCGCCGCTGCTACCCTGCCGCCCTACCGCTACCTGCTGCCGCCATTTTATTGCTGTTTTACTGCCTTAATCTACAACTATCTCTCCTTAAATATATATATATATATATATATATATATTTTAGTTTTTTCAAGTTCAAGTTTATAATTTTATTTGATTTTATATTTTAAGGTACGTTACACTCAACTTTTCTACTTGATCTTGTATTTTCTTTATAGATTTATTTATAATGAGTGCTTCAACATTTTCAACTGCTTCTATTATGGCTCCTATTATTACCAGTGCATCCCAACATTTTCAAGCTCTTTTATTTCTACCATTGATTGTGGATGGAAATAATTATCTATTATGGGCAAAAATGGCAAAAGCAAATTTATTTGCAAAACTCTCGGATGCCATTATGTTTGAAGAATCTCCTACAACAAGTATTTCTATATCTCCTGTTATTCGTTGGAAAGCACTTCTTTTCCTTCGTCGTCATCTTGTACCCGCATTATAACATCAATATTTGGAAATGGAAGACCCTACAAAACTTTGGAAGAATCTTAAATCTAGGTTTGATCATCAAAAGACCATTTTTCTTCCACGTGCACGTCATAATTGGACACATTTACGTGTCTTGGATTTTCCAAATTTAAATGCTTTCAATAGTGAAATGTATAGTATTGTCTCACAATTACGATTATGTGGACAAAGCATTTCTGAAGAAGAAATGATTGAGAAAACTCTTTCTACATTTCCTCTTGCATCTGCTATGCTTGCACAACAATACAGGAACATGAAATTTCAGTCATTCTGATCTCATGTCCTATCTACTTCTTGCGGAGAAGCAAAATGAGCTACTCTTGCGCAATGCAGAAGCTTGTCCTATTGGAACTACAATTCCTGAATTTCATGCACTTAATATTTCAAAGTCTAAGAAGAAATTATATAAACATGGGAAACATGCTCATAAGTATTAAGGTAATCATAGTCAAGACCATTTCTATCCATATGGAAAGAATAAACGTTCTACTATTAATTATAGTAGAAAACAAAAATCAGAGATGCGTTCCTGCCATAAGTGTGGAATGATTGGACATTTAGCACATGCGTGCCGTACTTCAAAATATTTTATTAAAATATTCCAAGAAAATAAGAAATTACGAGCTGAGGCTCGTGAAGTTCATACCATGGATGCGTCCATGGATTCAATTGGTGTTGATGACTTAGAGGCTTATATGACTGATAGAAGCTCTAATGATGAATCAAATGATGCGCTCATTGATTTTGCAACAACACATACTATCTTGCGAGATAGACGATTTTTTATTGAAAAATCTTCAACTTGGCAAACTAAAAATATGATGACCATGGCTGGAGCAAATACGTTTTGTTTCCAAGAGGGCACAGCGATGGTAAAATTACCTACGGGTTCCATCATAAAATGTAAACATGCGATGTTTGCACCCTCAGCACCTCGGAGTCTGATCAGCTATCGAGATGTGCGTATTAATGGTTATCACCTCTCGACTGCCACTTTAAATAGAAAAGAAGTTTTGGTTCTTGCGAAGAACCATAAAGTTGTTGAAAAAGCTTTTGCTACACAAAATGGTTTATACCGAATTGCTATTCGGCCTCCTATTATATTTAATTTTGCATCATCTATCTCAGAGAGTCGCGTTTCTCTCTGGCATGGACGATTGGGACATCCAGGATCCACATTATTTAGAAAGATCATTCCATGTATAACTGGGCACAATTTAAAGCGTGCAGATGTAGACTCTATAGAATTATGTCATGCATGCGTGCAAGATAAAATGATTACTCGGCCTTCAATTTGGAAACTTCCACAAGAATTACCACCAATGCTTGAAAGATTGCATGGTGATGTTTGTGGTCCTATTAATCCAACATCAGGACCATTTCATTATTTTTTGGTCCTTGTTGATGCATTAGATAAAGAATCACATGTTGTCAAGGACAAGAACTCGATGAAAAAATAGTTCAGACAAGTAAGCCTTCACTCAAAGAAAAGTAACAAAATATGAATAATAAGTATGTATATTGAAAAGAAAAACTAAAATGGCTATTGCCAAAAGACAAGAAAACTAGAGACCCTTGAAACTAGACTAGAAGCAAGAAAGGAGTTGACAAGAGTGAAGAAGCCTTCACTCTTGTCTCTATATATACTATCTAACTAGGGGCTACGTGGCGACGTTCTATAGGACCTCCAATATGTGTTGACTTTGTAGGACACATGCCTTGACTTACAAGGCAAGTTTTTCTACGTGTGGGCCACATAGTTAGCTTGTTCTTCAAGCTAACAACATGTGTGGTACATGGCCAACTTGTTGACCACGTTTCTAATCCAAAAAGTCAATTAAAGACACCTATGAAGTCAAAGCAGTGTCTAGGAAGTTTCTAGGAAGCTTCTATATTAAATATTATAGAATTAACTTACTTTTATCTACTTTTACTTACTTCTACCTATTTCTATATGTAATTATTAACTTACATGATTATGGCCGTGACATTATCCCCCCTTCTAGAGACGAGTTCCACGAGGAGCGGTCATCATATGTTGAGGAAATCTATGATGCGATGAATTGTATTCGCCACATACTCTGATCTCTGTTCTCTTCGAAGATGATTGATAGGGCCTCTCAACCATCGGTAGTGTCCCATACCAGGGCGGGAAGACCACCCAATTATTTGATCATTGTTGAGGCCTTCGTAACTTCCTTCGAATAGAATATTCAGAACACCATCAGGAGTTGTTTCTACCTCTAACAAAATCACCAAACATCGAGAGTCCCTTCCCAAATCGTGATACCAAATGCGTTGTATCTCACCATCTATTCGAGGAAGAACATGTCGTTCTTGAAGATCTTCATCTCAATTGCGTCGTCTTGAAGGTTGTGACAATCGTAATGTCTCGTTCGACGGGTCAGCAAACAAAGGTTCTTGAGTTGAATCCGCTGGTTGTTGGCTCTCCATCTAATTAGCGTCACAAATGCAAAGAAGTTACAAACAAGGATAGGAAATTGAATATTATCTTGCCTCAATCTTGTCTCTTTTATAAGAGAGATTTTCATCTTGGTTTCGATGGATGTCGTTGATGAAAAACTTTGACTTTAGCTGATGCATTTGCTAGATTCCTGGATGGCTCCCATGTGCGTTCACTAATATCATATCCGCGCCAATGAACAAGATATTCCAGCTTATTTTGGCACCGCCTTGAGTCTAATATCTCTTCCACCTCAAATTCTTCATTATTATCTACTTCTATAAGAGGCGGTGGCATTTGTCTTCTTCCTTGTATATCCACTGTCTTATATGGTTCAAGAAGAGACACGTGGAATACAGGATGGATCTTCATTGACTCCGGTAGATGTAACGGATATGCAACTGGGTTAATCTGTTCAGAAACAGAAAAGGGGCCAAGCCTACGATAGTCCAACTTGTCACAAGGTCGAGTAGTCTTGATATTGGGACGAAGTAGCCATACCTTATCACCCACGTTGAGTTGTGGTTGCTTCTTACGATATAGATCTGTGTTTATCTTTTGTCGTTCTTGAGCTTCCTTCAATTGTGTCTTCATTATTGCATGTAACTCTGACAACCGATTTGCCATATCTTCTGCTGCAGGATTATCAACTTTTGAAAAATCAAAAGTATCAAGTCGTGGATGATAGCCATAATTGGCAAAGAAAGGTGTTTGTTGCGTGGAAGAATGTACCGTATTATTATAAGCAAACTCTGCCAATGGCAGAAGGGTTATCCAATCATCTTGTTGGTAGTTGATAGTACACCTTAAATACTGCTCCAAGACTTGGTTTACGTGCTCTGTTTGTCCATCAGTTTGAGGATGGAAAGCCGAAGATAGCTTTATGTCCACTTTTAAAATCTTGAAAAGGATCCTCCAAAATCTTGACACAAATTGAGTTCCCCTATCCGATATGATATCTTTAGGTAATCCATGATAGCGATAGATATTATCAATGAAAAGCTTAGCTGTTTCTTCACCTGTGATAGATTTTGTACATGGCACAAAGTGTGCCATCTTGGTGAAACGATCTACTATCACAAATATAGAATCATAAGATCTTGAGCTTGGAAGATCTGTGATGAAATCCATAGAAACAGAAGACCATAGTTGTTCTGGTATAGGTAATGGCTGAAGAAGTCCGTA